TAAAAAACCTGAAGGCAATGTGGGGTGCACCTACCGCTCAAATTCCACTAGATCTGGGGATAAAGTGTCTGAAAACTGGATCAATTCTGGCTTCTCATATTCTTCCAGTGTTTGTTTTTCACATTCTTGAAGCAAATACCAGATGGCAGAGTCACTTTCACTCATATCTTCTGAGGTTGATGTAGTGCTGGAAAGAACACAAGGGAAAAAAAACCACATTAATAACTTCTCAACTGGATTAATAATGCCCTCATCATGGTGACTCCAGAGCCTAGGGGCATTCTTCCCAAGCCAGCTTTTTTCTCCTTCTTTTGCTTTAAACAATGAAAGCACTGCCTGGAAATGAGACCAACAACATGCTTAGAATGTTTGTACACTCCATGGGATTACAGCGATCCAGGTGAAACCTCTTTGTCCTTTCCTCATGAGGAAAAACCTCTGCTTGGAAATACAGTAGCAATGACAAAGAGTTCCAGAGATGCTGGGATGGAAGCAAGTGCAAAATATTATCATCTTTTCTTGACTGGTATAAGCCCTTACCTCTGACTGCCGAATTGCCTCCTGACATATTCCTCCCTGACTTCCTCCAAGCTGGATGGGCTGCCATCCTCCAGACTGCAGCTCGCTGTTGTCAGCAGAAAGGTCACTGTCACATCAATGGCACTTTTGGCTTCTCTCTCCCCCTCAGCCCCAACCTAGCAGAATACTGCCAACAACTGGTTCTTCACAAGACAGAGCTTTTCATTAGGCAGAAATTATGTGAAAGAAGAAACATCTGTCTCTCCTAGAACATAACTAGCACTACTGGGAGTTTATGAACACTGAGGAACCTAAAATCAATGCCTTTTCCTAACATTGATTTTACAGAACTGATGTTGAAAACAACCTGCAAATCAAACTCTGGGCACGCACTAGTCAATACAGTATTTTTTAAATAAAAAAAATACCTTATAATGAACAAATTGCATGTGAAGAACCCTGACATCCAGCCTGTGATTCACAAGCAGTATGGATTTTACACATATGCAAGTACATACAAGGGGAAGCTTGCCTCAAACTCCCCTCAACCAGCCTCCCCACTTGTTATCCTTTCAATTTTGCTCTGTCAAACTATTCTTTCTACCTATGACTCACTTTTATGGGTTATCCAAGGATGTGGGTTCAGATGAGGTTGTTAATTTTAAGCACTGAGACTTCTAATTGATTCCAATTATTGGAGGTGCAAGTCACATGAATAGCAGGGTATTTTCTAGCTGACAGGAATGTGGACACTTGAAAGAACAAAAAAATATGTCCAAAGCCTCTATGCTATCAGCCCCTGGTCCTGCTTGCTGCTAGCAGAGGCAGTGGCCAGCAGCACTAAACAGAAGGCACGCTGCTGGGGCGTGAGGTCCTGCAGCAGGAGCTGCCACAAGTGCAGACAGCACCTGCTGGCCAGTGTGACCAAGGTGTCACAGGCTGCAAGAGAGCAGGGCTTGAGAATGGCCTGCCAAGCTGAAAGAAAACAAAACTGCAGCACCTCTCTTAACCATTTATATCAGAGTACACTCTTAACCAGAGGCTTCCCTTCCCTACCCTAGGAAATCCTTTTACCTCACACCAGCTCTGGCAGGGCTGGGTGCTGGTGACAGCTGTGACTGTCCTGGTCACACTGCTGTGACCAGGAGGAGCACACAGCTCCTGCAGGAGCCTAAGGATGCAGCCTGGGGACCCACGGCAGCCCCACACCTGCTGGGGGGAAGCTGCCAAGGGTACTCTGCCACGGGAGAGCAGGAATTGCTTGTTTCCTCTCTTCACCCAGGCTGGGGAGGGGGTAGGAAAGGCTGAGTCAGAGGGGAATTTCTGAGATAGATACAGTGCTCAATGGATTGACAGACTTCTCACTGTGCCTTACTTATTGCTACAACTAAAGCCACAGCTGGCTGCAATGCTTTAATGGGCTCAGCTCTGTACTTCTGTCTCTAACAAATACATAAAAACCAAGTCCAGGCTCTTTGTCCAAGCAAATACTTGCGTAGAGTTACCTTTCATCTTCAGCAAAGAACACAAGGTTTGCTCCAGCTTCTGGATAGATGTCTTAGCCTTACGCAAAACCTGATACTAAACATAAGAAGAAAACAGAACTGATTGTTCTCTGCTCTAACTAGATTCATGTTTTAACATGCCTTTGTTGCTTTGCTTCTCCTTCATGTTTACCTTCAGTAATTTCCATGTCTCTGTGAAAATATATTGTGAAAATAGTGTTGTTTCACTAGCTACCCTTATACATATGAAAAAGGGAAAGAATTAATAAAAGAGAAAACTTCAATACAGAATATAAATATTTGGGTATCTATTATGGAATACATACACATAACACCCAGTCACACAGACATTGGCTACTTAACTCGGATCTTTTTTCATCAGCAAATGGTCTTGTTTGGATCGTTCTCTTCTTGGAGCATGTCCAGAAATACCATGCTGCGAGTCTTGTTGGATGCCTACCAACTTAAGGCATAAGATTTTACTAATGATTTCCCATGAGACTTTTGCTAGGAGAAGCCTCTGCCATGTTCTGCACTGCTGTAACCTGGATTACAGCAGCATAAAACATGGCAAAGGCTCCTCTTAGAAAAAGTCTGGATTAACAGGATTAACTTCAGTGCTGCACATCATTCCTCCATCATCTACACCAAGTAAAACTAAAAACATATGGCCAGTGCATTTAAACAGACACATCTCCAAAATATTTCAAGATTTATGTGCATGGTGAGACCATCCATATCTACCTTGCAGAGCTGGATATTTTAGCCAGGCACCAAGCACTAGGATTACAAGCAACCTTCTGTATTAAGACTTTTTAAAGTATTAAACTACCTTGGCCCCCAAGAGTCACACAAGGGGCACAAGACACTATAAAAAAGCAATTTCAAGAAGTGGCATGTGAACACAGTTCCCTGAGACCAGGCAAAGGAAGCAGTGCTTAGTCTTGGCTTTGGAGATCCTGCTGACTTCAGGTTAACTTGTATCTTGCTCAGAACATGGCAAACTGAACTCTTACCTCAACCTACGTGAGGGCTAAGGGACTCAGCAGGCACAAACCACATATAGTGGTATTCAGCATATTCAGGGGACAATTCCTGTCCTAAACAATCATTACCCCCTCTACTTTACAAACTGGAAAACTGAAGGTAACCAATGGAACTAAATAAATTAGTTACAGAGTTGAGTAGATACTCCTGAGGTTTGCTCCTCTGCCTCGAGCATGGTAATTTTAGTCTTTTCAGTATTATTTTGAGTAAATTTCATCTTTATAAACAATTTTGCCTAAATAGTTTCTTCCTTTAGTTGAGACCAAGAAACAGTACTGGTGCTTGTTTTTATTCCTGAGCTTATTTTTCCACTGTCTTGAAGACAATGTGCACCTCATAACACTGAATGAATGATTCCTTTCCCTCTAATTCCTCCTGTCCCTAAACTCACTGTTCTGATTTCAGAACAAAATGCTGTGACATCAGCTTCGTCATGGGATCCCTTGGTTTGTTTCCAAAATACTATAAAAGGAAATGCGAAGCCATAAAAATGCTTCAAAAAGCCTGTAAGAAAAGTACAGATAAGGCACATGATAAACTCATGACCCAGCCACTACAAACTGGACAACTCGCTTAGGCTGAGCTGGCAGCTTTAGAGATCCAGGAGAGGTGCACGCAGTGAAATTACACACACACTGGCACCCACAAAGACACAGCGATCACGGACTGAGCCTAAAGCTGGATCAGTGTGAACATGCCCATGTATTACAATGATGCAGAGAGAAACAGTCACTGTTCCGCACCTTTGAGGCACAGCTGTCTGACTGGGATAAAACTCTTCCCCGCAAGCTGCTGAAGAGTCTTGCCAGAGGAACCCAGTGGTGTGCCTGTGGCAAGTGCTGCTTTGCCATGCAGTGTTCTGCCTCTTGCAGGTGTCTCAGGGGATTGAGACTCACTTTGGCATGTGTCTTCCTACAGTCTCCAGCTGTGCCTGTTGAAAGCTGCAATGCAACATTTATTTATACTGAATAAATAGCTAACTGAAGGGAAAGAAATCTTACAGCCTGCACAGTGGATAGACAAAAAGAAAAAAAAAAATCTGCCTGACAAGAGCTTATCTTTCTGTAGAAAATCATGGAGTTTGAAATATTTTCTTTGCCTGAAACATACCTGCCTGTTAAGTACTTACTAAAACCTAATTCACCACTAACAATTAACAGCAACCCAGCTGAAGCCAGCCTCCCATCTCCTGCACCATTCCCTACAATGCTTTGTGTTTCATTTCCATGGAAAATCCAGGGCTTGGCTTCACAAAGCACTAAGGCTCCTCTGCTCCCACCGATGTTGCTAAATGACAGGCTTCTTTACAACATAGAACATTTTTTTTTCCCAATAAACTGTGACACATTGGTGTGGGCAACGATACCAGACATACTCTTGCACGAGAGGGCCAGATCCAGGCCCAGCCGGGCCTGACACAGCCTGAGGCGCCCGCCTGGAAAGCCCTTCCCGGCTTTCCACTGGATTAATGCCCCCTGCCTCGCTACCGACCGCAAGCACAGCCCAGAGGTAAGAGTGCCCGCCCCTGCTGCTCCTTCTGAGGTCGGGAGGCACGGGCCGGCCGGGGGAAGCCCGTGAGGGGCCGCGCCGGGAGCCACTGGACGCGCCCGCTCGCTCCGTCTACCAATCCATCCACGCATCCACCCATCCATCAATCAATCCATTGGCACCGCCCGGGCCCCGCCCCCAACGCCGCCGCGCCTCTGCCGCCCGCGCCAAGCAACACCAGCCGCACGTGGCGGACGGCCAATCGGCACCCAGCCGGCTCCCGGCGGCGACCAATCAGAAGGCGGGAAAAACGCGGGCTCGACGCTCCAGCGGGGTGGAGCGTGGGGCAGGGAAGAGGCGGGCAAGGCACGCTGGGAGCTGTAGTCCCGTTTGGGGCTGGTCTGGGCCGGGCCATCCCCGCCCCGCCCCGCCCCCCGTGGGCGGGCGGTGCCGCGGCGCCGCGGGGCCCCCATGGCGGCGGCAGCGGAGCGCACGGACGAGCTGGTGCGGGAGTATCTGCTCTTCCGCGGCTTCACCGCCGCCCTGAAGCAGCTGGACGCCGAAATCAAGGCGGACCGGGAGAAGGGTTTCCGGGTGAGCGGCGACCGCATCCCCGTTCCCGGCGGGGCTCTGGGCGCGGGCGCACCCCTAGGAGGACGCGGGCCGCGGGCGCCGCTTCGCGCTCCAGGGGCTGGGCGAGGGGAGCGGGCCTGGCGCCCGGGGAGCCCTCGGAGCCTCCGCGCTTCCCCGGAGAGCGGGGCCCGGCCCCGCTGGGCTGGGCTGGGCTGGGCGCGGGGCCCGGCCGGCCGCACAGGCGGGACCCGCATCCCGGAGCCGCCCGGGCCGCCCTGCCCTGCCGCCGCTTAGGGACGCAGCCTCCCGGCGGGGCTGGAGCCGCTTGAAGGCTCCCCTCCCGCTCGGCTCCAGGGCGGCTCCATCCCCTCGCCTGCCGTGCGGCTCCGGCAGCCGCCCCCCGCCGCTCCCAGCCCGGCCCTGGGGGGACCCTGCGTCCGACCCGCGGGGACCGCCAGCGGATTCTCGGCTTCCAGGCGAGAAGAACCGAGGAGACCCGCGGACCGAGAGGGCAGGAAGACATTCCTTTGCCTGCATCTTTTCTCGGTCATGAGATTTTTATCCAGCGGAGCTCCGCTCGTTAGTTTGTATGTCTTGAGTACCAGCTGCCTTGGCTAACGCGTGGAGATCGGCGCAGAATTTGCCAGTCTCAGAAATACAGTTTCAGTCCATTGCGTGAGCTTCTTGTTCCTGTAGCAACAGTTTTGGGCACCGAAGGTAGTGCTTTGAACAGTCAGATTTTTCTTTGACCAGCAATGTAAGCACTACTTTTATCATTAATAAAGCATGTTGCTTTTATTTTTTAAAACACCCGTACTTTGCTGGTGACTTAATCTGAATTGTTGTCCAAGAAGGGTCTGCTGGGGTCACAAACTTCAGTTTTCTATATCTGAAGGATGCTACAGAGATAAAATTTGGGTATGTCCTAAGTGATGAGGGAAGAGCAAACCACATATTAAACAACCTTAGTTTAATTTTATATGGGATGCAGTTTTTTCTTTTTCTTATGCCTGTCTTTGCCGTCAGAAACCACTGAACAAAAAATCTATTCCCACACCACCATTTTGCCTTATTCATATTGCAGAAATGATTTCCAAAGAGACATAATGACAAAAAAATTCTTCTGCAAAATTTTATGCTTGCCTTGTTAGTAGATGATGTTACTAAAGATAAAGGTACTTCAAAAATTGCAATGGAGCAGAACTGACTTCCTCTTTCTGTTGGCTAAATGCAAGTATTTTTCCTTTTAGTCTAAAAATAGTACTTTTTTTCAGGTGCTGCACTTGAGTTTGAAATATTTAATCACATTATTTTTTTAAAAATTATTATCAACAGACTTTCAAAGGATGTGGAAAGTTTTGCTTACTTGCAAAAAAATCCATCAGTTGGGTTCAAGGAATGTGATATTTCTGTCAAAATCTGTTTGGCTATGCTCTGTCATATTTCTTTTTCCTTCATTTGCAAAGTGCTGCAGAGTGGAAGAACGCTAATGCAAAAATCAGAGTGTTTCCAGGATTAGAAAATAGCTAATGCATAAGCATTGCACAGTGAAAGCAGTTCAAGCTTCTGAGCACTAAGTTACGGAAAGTCTTGTGCCTCAAGAGCCCTCCCATGAGTGAAGTCTTCCCGTGTTGCCTCTTTAGGTGGATAAGATAGTGGAGCAGCTGCAGCAGTTTGTTCAGAGCTACGATCTGGCTGCCCTGCGGGATTACTGGAGCTATCTGGACCGACGCCTGTTCAGCCGTTTGGAAGACGTGTACCGGCCAACGGTGAACAAGCTGAAAACCAGCTTATTCCGGTACTACCTGGTCCATGCTATTCAGGTACTGCTTGATTTTTTGGCTACTTTATAAAGGTCCTGGTCTCTGAAACCAAAGCAGTAAACTGCCTTTGTGAGCCTGTGCCAGGCCTGCTGGGTTAGGAACAAGGAGTTCGTGTGTCATGGTCAGGAGTGTGGTGTGGAGTTTGATGCAGACTCACATGACAAGCTTGTGTGCAGGACAGGGAAACTCGGGCAGCAGGGAAACGTGGTTTGCTGGGTGCAAGGTATTCACACTCACATAAAGACAGGTTTCTCTCAGAAAGGATAACAGTACTGCTAGCTCAGTCCTGCTCAGTTAACTTAGATACTGGCAGAGAACACAAGGTTCAAACTGGAACAAGGAAATGTGGAAGAGAAAATAAATGTCTTTTTGCTTGCTTTGAATAGAACAGAAAATAATGAGCTTAAAGTGCAACAGAGATTTTTTCTGTTCAAACTCTGGGAATTCAATGGAGTATATTCTCCCCTTGATTCTTCTTGGTTCCATTTCGTGACTGAAGATCCAGGTGTTAGTGGAAGAGTCAAAATCTAATACATCTTTCTAGAAGTGTGCTTTTTCATGGTTTGTTTTGCCATGTGCTTACCCTGAGGTGTGACAGTCCTGTCTGAATAATGTGTCAGTTGGAAACCTTTTCAAGGTGCATGTGCTGTAGACTTAAGTAATTTGAATTATCCTTTGGTCCTGTATATGAATGCTCATGTCAGTGCACTCTGCACTGGTCTAACTGAAACCAGTGTGTTTGGTTCAGTTGGTCTCAGCCTTTAAACAGGATTCTGGTGACTAGAAAGAAGGTTGGATTAAGTGCATTTGTGAGCTTCCCCTGCCATATTTGGGTTTCTTTTTCTTCCTGGTGAATCTGTAACTAACCGCTTGATGTGTCAGGGTGGTGAAAATAGTTGTGTTCATAACAAAAAGCAAATGTTTCTCCATCTAATCTGGTGGCATTAACGGAAGTGTGAACCCTGTTCTTCTTGCTGTGTTTCAGAATGGCCGCAATGACAAGGCACAGGAGTTTTTCCTCAAGCAGGCCTCCGAGCTCCAGAACCAGGCAGAGTGGAAGGATTGGTTTGTCCTGCCCTTCCTCCCTGCTCCAGACTCCAACCCCACCTTTGCTACCTATTTCTCACGCCAGTGGGCAGATACATTCATCGTGTCTCTGCACAACTTCCTGAGCGTCTTATTTCAGTGCATGCATATCCTTCTTTGCAGCTTTGCAATCTCCCTTGCCCTGGTGTTAATCTTTCAACAGTTATGCCAAGGATATAATACTATGGAACTTCCTGCTTTCAGGTGATTTTTTACAGCCAGGACTTAATAGAAGTTGGTGTTTACCAGAGGGTGTTACTGCTAGTAATAATAGTTACTGCTCAATTATCTGATGATATGTTGTATTCCCTGAGCAAAACAATTGTGGTTGTCGGTGGTGCTGAATCATCCCGATGCTAGTGACTAGAAATCTTGTGCACATCTTGTTCTGAAATGGTTTTACTCTTTGCTTGACATAGTACAAAACAGTCATACAACCTTGGGTCATAATCCATAACTGTACTGGCATCTTCTGTTAGATCCTTCTTTGGGTACATTATGTTCACAACATTGCCTAGTGACAGCTCATTATAATAGAGCAGTTGATTTTTGGCAGGAATAAGTTTTTAGCGGCATGCTACAGAGTTCTGTCTTGTTTGGTGATGATGCTGCAGCTGGAATACAGCTCATCTTGAACTGTTTCTTCAGTGTACAGTAAAGCAGTAATAGAACCCGTCTTGCCCTCCACTTCTGACTCTAAAAAGAAATAATCTAAAAATCCTTGCAAAGTCCACATGAAATAGTTTAGCTGCTAATCTTCTGGTCGTGCACATACTTTTTGCTAATTTTATGGACTGGTCAGCTTTGTTTTTACAGAGAAATGGCCAGTACGGAGTGCTGGCTTTTAGAATTAAGCCAGGTGCACACAAGTTATTGCCTTGATTTTCTTTAACATTGCTTACCAGTTCCAGTCATACTGAACTTTGAAGCTGAATGTCTCAGGACCAGTCTCATACAAGAAGAAAATGAATCGTTGCGGCATAAGGTCAGAACTGAGATCACTCTTTAGCTGCTGACTGTGTGATGTGAGTTTTGTAAAATTGATTCCATCCATTTGAGAACTTTGTTCTGTTTGGTGCAGTTATTCTAAGGCAGATTCTTTAAGTCTTTTGATTTATTTTGATTTATCTTTCAGTTGTTTCCAGCAAAGTTAGGATTGTGATCATATTGTGAAATGTCTGTTTAGGATATTCCTGTCCCTCTGCTGAAGGTGATTGTCTCCCCTCCCTGTGCTGTCTGACAGGTGACTGCATACTATACAAACTCATTTTCTGTTACACTGCAAAGTCAAAACAAGGTGAAACTGGCAGCGGGTTAGGGATGTATGTTGTAGAGTTATAGAATGGGTTGGAAAGGAAGTATGGCTGATTTTGTGAATAGTATGCAATCACTTCCAGATTTTAGCAGATAGAGAAACAGAAGCAATAGAAATGGTTAGTAAATTCTGGCAGAGACAGAAACTGTTACTTCTGAAATGGCCCCTTCACCATGTTTGATATGTACTTAAAGCAATTTAGACCAGCTAGTGGAAATATTGTGAATGTCTGTTTCCCAAGTCGAGATCTTACAGTAAACCATAAGAAGGGTCTGTTAGTTCAGAGAAAGTGTTGCCCAGCTCCATGTCTTGTGTTTGACAGTGTTATCAGCAGATACTTAGGGAAAGGGTATAACATGGGTCAGTCCTTTCCACATATAACTTCTGTTAGAGAAATGTGTGAAATCTGAAGTTTAAGATTTAAACTCTAGATCATATGTGGATGGTCACATGCAAGTAGGAAGGATTATTCATGTAAGCAGAACTTTAATTTCGCTTCCTCAAACATACCAAGAAAAGCTCTTTCTGTATAAATATTTCAGTAAAGTTTGTGCTTTACCTCCTGTGTTACAAAACATTGTTGTATGTTGTGTTTTCTGTTTGTACTGTTTTAATAGCTGTTCAACACTGTCCTAGAAATAGAAGTAAAATAGAATAATTGATTTCAAAAAAGGAGGCCGTTTTTCAGGAAAAAACCCAAGATTTGTCACTGTGTACTGTATGGAGTTAGAAGGTCAGTCAAACATTGACAGGAGGGTTCTGCAAAGGTGGTCAGTGAATAGGGACAGAGGATGAGGTATGTTTTGCAACAGAGCTTTTATTTCCTCAAATTTTGTATTTACTTTTAGTCAGAATAAACCTATGGTTTGTGTTTTGCATGTTGGCTGATACCATTTGCAGTCTGGATAAAAGTTTTTTGGCAAATCAACAGCAGTAAAACTGGACTTTCCCTTTTAGTCAACTCCTCAGGTCAGAGGGGGAACCAGCGACCTCTAGAATACAGGTTTTAAGAAAGGATGCCAATAAATAGTGATGCTAGCTGAAATTAAGTAGTGATTCTGTTCTATTCTGCTGAAACAATGCAAATACATAAATAGTGAGCTAGATTTCTAAAGCTCATTTTTCTTCCTGTATTTTCTTTCCTTAAATATTGTGTTAAAAAGAAAAATAAATATATCTGAAAAACAAATGTACAGAAACAGAAAAGCCTGAGGAACTCTTTGTGTAAGAGTCACAGGCATAAACCACATCTGTTCCATAAAGCTGCATCCTGAGGTTCCTCTCTACTAAAGGGAAAAAGAGATGGTTTTCTTTCTCCATAATGTGGAGATAAATCTCACTGTCATGCTTGGGAAGGAGTTGCACAGGGTATGGAGCTGGATTTCAGGCTGACCTGGTTTCACTGACCTTGGTGCACCCTGCCAGTTGAGCAAACCCTTGGCTGTGGGAAGAAGATTACCTTGTAGGCTCTGTGCCTGCATTGCCCTGGCCTCAGACTGCCTGCAGGAGAGGGGCTGTAAGCTCTGCCCTGCCCAGCTCTTGTTTCCCAGCACCACTAATGTCCCACAGCCAGCCCCAGGAGAGGAATGAAGGGCTTTAAGTAGGCTCCAGTTTCATGTGCCTAAAGTACTAATTGTTTTGACTAATTGGACTAATGTGGTGCTCAGCCAGTCAGAGCAACTTTTTTCCTTCCCCGCCCTTCTAGAGCTGTTGAAATAAAAGGAGTAAACAACTTCAGTGAGTGGGAAGGAGGTGAATCTCAGTGACCCTGTGTTTACTTGGCTCTTTTCTCCTGTCCTAGCTGTTTGCTCTGCAGGCTGAATCCTCCCGCATGAAGAAAGAGGAATTGGAGGTGGAACAAGCAGTAATGCATCACAAGCTGCCTGCATATGTGGCCAACATGGATCGACTAGGGGACTCTGAGCTGTGAGTGCCTGCAGGAGAAGAGCTGGCGACAGGCTCTGCTGCTTTTGTTGGGTCAGGGAGGTTCCTGGAGGGTCATTTCCATGTGCACTGCCCTGGGATTCAGTGCAGAAAGACATCCAGGCAGACATTATGGTGACCTAAGTAGGTTTAATGGAATTCATGACAGGTGTCTCTCCCATCTTTTGGGAGGTTCTTGAAAACCAGTGAGAGCCCAAGCACGCATGGAAGTGATTCTGCTCTGCTGCCATTATTACACCAAGGTGTTCTGGGCATCCAGGGCACTGGCAGCAGTGCAGTACCTGCAGTATTGCTCAAATGAAGTGGATTGGCTCCTGATTCCAATTTACTTGAGTGCCTGCAGTGCCATAGGTGAATGCCCTGTGTTGTTTTGTACTGTTATTTACTGTATGACCCAAATGGATTCTTCTTACACAGAGATGTTTTCTTGCTTTTGCAAAGTCAAGGGAAAAGGAGCTTCTCTTCTGTGAGGCTCAGATTTCCCCATGAACTTGCTGCAGTTAAAAGTGTATTTTGTGTCTACATCTACTTTGTGCCTATCTCTGGAAATTAGGCAACATACACAGTGATACAGCTTCTTTAACTGTTATTTTTTTACCCCAGGACAGGAATAGGATTGATTAAACTATCCTGTTGCCAGTGACAGATAGAAGTTGTAGCAGGTACTACACACAGAATGTTTTAATCTAAAATTTGTCTGATTAAATAGACTAAGTGTTTATTGAACTATCTTGGGGACAGCTCTGCAGTCTTTGCACAGTACAGGCTCCAGAGTTTAGTTTGTGATATGTTTTTTTTTAACTCTCTGGAAAGCCCTGATGCTATCCACATGGATGGAGGAGTGTGACATGAGGGATGGGGTAATTTATTCCTGTATTTATTTTTGTCCATTTGAATTAGAAAAACTTGCCTAAGAAGTGGCATTTCTTGCATGTGCAGCTTATCTCTTAGTCTGGGGACCAGTTCAGTTGCTTATTTTTGTGTCTCTGCTTAACTCAAAGCCCAGCTTTGGTAGAATAGTTCCATCCTTGCAGAGTGGATCGAGACAGTGAAGATTATTGTATTCCCCTTGCCCTTGCTGCCACTCTGCTCTCAGAGGAAGCTGTAGCACAGTGAGGTCAGACAGTTATGTTCTGGGAAGCAGCTGCTGCTCTTGGCATTGTGGACTGAGAAGGGAGGTGTTTATAATCATAGAAATGGTCTGTAGCTCTCTTATTTCCTTTGGGTCTGGATTTTGAGATATTGAAGGCTTGTGCCATAAAATTGTTGAACATAACCTGCTGTTTATCAAAGCGTGTTCAGTGAAATACTGGATGCTGAATGTCTCTCAAAGTAGGTCTGTTTTATGCTTTGAATTGGGAATCCCATCTTAATAAGTTCTACAGCAATCTGAATTCCCCTGCCTTTCCCTTAGAGTCTTTCTAAACAAACCAGATGGAGTGGAAGGAGTTTTAGGTAGTTCTAAAGCGGATTCAGCAGCAGTTTGAGCTCACTGTCTCAGTGGCATCTCTGAGAAGTGAGCTTTTGGTTACAGTAACTGTAATGACCTGCTCCAGGCACTAAGAGGATATCTTCAAATAGGGTTTTACTGCATAGTGGTGCACTGGCTTGGAAATGAACATCTGTCTTCCAGTGGTTCAAACAGCTGCCACTTCACTCAGCTGGGTGGTCTTTGGGCAGGTTGCCTTGCTACACTTTCATATTCTGTTTGGTGGTGTTTTGTTTTTTCATTAGTGATATGACCTGCAATCAGAGGAGTACAGCACATTCTCTTCAGTCCCGCGGAGGCTTTCTGTCCTCCTTTCTCTCCCAAAGTAAAAAGGGCCCTTCCAGACCAACCCATTCAAGTGGGGCTTCTCCAGTGCAGACTAGCAGTATGCTGCTAGTGAAGAAAGAACCAACAAATCACCAGGTAATCCTCAGCTGAAAGTTGCTCAGTCTCCAAGGAGTTAACTTGCGCCACGGCACTGCTCCAAGCTTCTGCTTCCACCTGAAAAATTAAATGTCCTGCCTTGCAAATGTATGCTGGGCCTGAATGCAGCACAAGAACAGCTATTGTTAACTAAGAGTTTGTGGAGCCCTTGCAGGTGCTCTGTTGCTTTGCTACTTCTTTTGCTCTTTGTTCTGCAGCCTACTGGAAGCATAACTTTGCCCAGTCACTTCTCTGCTTTCCAGGGTGCCAAAGGAAAAGAAGGAACCGTGAGCTCTAAGGATGGGAAGAGCCACTTCAGTGGTTTAGTGGCAGGCGAGTCCAGCTCCCTGCAGCAGCGGCAGAAGCGCTTGCAAGAGCATGGGAAAGAAAGGAAGGAACTGTTGTCAAAAGGGACCTTCCAGGTACTGGTCAGCACTGCAGGGCTGGGAAGCAGAAGGCTTGTATTTCTGTAAAACTAAGGGGTAAAACAAGTGCAAGTGTTTCCTTTAAGCTTCGGAATTGCTAGTTAGAAATAACTGTATCAAAGGTTCATGTCTGTAGTTAATCAACTCCTTCTTCACTTGGTTTATTTCTGTGTCCCTGGAAGTTAATCAGTGTTGGCATTTCAGGTGGAAGAATTGTCTATTGTCTCCATGCTTTTCACCGCCTGCTCCTGAGGCTTCACTGAGGATTCATTCGCTTTTAATGATTGTGTTTAAATACCTTCTTAAAATCCCTATTTCTCATTGGTAATGAGCTTGGCTCACTCATCCAGCAAAAGTGGATGAGTTCTCTTCCTGTAGGTTCTTGTGCTGATTTTTACAGGCTCTGTGTGGGACAATGAATACTAATATAAAATTTTCCTGGATAGGAATGGAACTTGCTTTCCTAGCAACATTTGCTTCTTGGAGTTTTTTGTACTTTATTGTTGCAGTTTTACCTGGGGGTGTGCCCTGTTTTAAAATCTAATGAAATAATAAAACTGTGTCCTGGATTTTAACTGCTGAAGGTCAGCACACTACTTCTGTACACCTGTGTGTTGTCTGGCTTTCAGCAGCCATCTTGTCAAAAAATACAGAGCACAGGCAGCATCTCAGCCATTGTTATTTTGTCTGTATGAGGCATTCTGCCTTGTGGAGAGGCAGTGCTGAGGGACTGTTGCCTGTTGGCCAGTGTGTGGCTGTTCTGTGTGTGGGAGTGCTGGTTAAAGAGATGTTACTCTATCAATCAGCATTCAAGGCCTTCAGAGAACCTTTTTATTCATGGTTCATCTAAAACACTTTCACATTGGTTGGAAAACTGCAAAGCCCAATTTCCCAGTAAGTTTCCTTTCACTTCCCTTTTTCTAGACTGTTCCGTGTTAAGGCAGTGATTTTTGGGCTGTGTAAAGATTGGTGCTCTTGAGGAAGCTTGATGCTCTTTAACTTGTCTCAAAGCATGTGAGCAAAAAGGAAACTGAAAGCGGCACTGTTTTCTTTCACAGGAGTGTCATTCACTGTAACTAGCAGACTAATTACTGGATTTGTTTCCCAGTCTTTTCCAGCTCTGTGATTTCAGATGATTTCATTATGCAGTGCTTGATCCATTGGTCCTGATGAGAAGCTACTGTAAATTAGGCAAGCATGTGTTACAGAACAGGAATTCATAACCATCAATACCAATACCATTTTGGGGACACTTAACTTTCAGAGGATGCTTTATGAAAAGAATGCTAGCAGATGGTTTTCCACCTTATGTGCTGTATCTGCTTCTTGTTCAACTTCTGGTGGCAAGGGAAGACTAAGCTGTTTCCAAATATTTCTGCAGTGCAGATCTTATCCAGATACTGTCACTTCCTAAAACTCCCTTTATTCTGTCTGCCCTGTCAAATTGGGTTTTAAGCTTTTGGACTCATGTGTCAGCTCTACTGGGGCTTGAGAGCCAAGTTTTTGTACAGTTTGCTGAACTGCATATTATACAGACTTAACTTATATTGCTGAATGCAAGAATTCCTGGAAATGTTGATTTTCTTGTGAATCTGTGCTCTAATGGCATATAAATGGGCCTCTGATATTGGCTGAGGTATGCCAGAAATATTGCAGTTCTTTTAATTCTTACAGGAAAGTATGTAGCTGGGCACTTGGAGTGGGATATAAGGGACTCAACAACTAAGCAAGTCATACTAAATAGTGCAGTTGTGCAACACATGGTCCTTGTACTCAGAAAGATCCCTGGCAGAAGGAGTGTTCGGCTGACAATGCTTCGATTTTGTTGCAGTTTGGTTTTTTTTCCCTCCCAGCAGGCTGGGGTAGCTGAGGAGCTTGATATGGAGCTGCTTCCTTGTATTTCACACAGGATTTCTTCCTTCAGGGCCAAAGTGCTGAGAAGAAAACAGATACTAACACAGCTGAGGCAGAACCATGCTCAGAGCTGCACGCTGAGCAAACAGAGACTTCAACCAAAATGCCTGGCAGCAGTGCAGAGGCTGTGGGGGTTCGGCAGGAGCAGCCTTTCATCGTCCTGAGCCAGGAGGAGTATGGGGAGCACCATTCATCCATCATGTACTGCAGGTAATGCACTGGCAGAGGGGGCTGTCCTGTAGAAGCCTCTGCAGAAGGATCAGCTGTGTCTGCCCTCTTTCTCCCAGCCTCTGTTGTGTCCAGCACATTGGGCATGTACTCGCAGTTTTTGGGCTGTCAAGTTGGTGTCACTGAAAGTAGCATGTAGCTTGTGCTACATGTGAGAAAGGACAGAGATTTTTGGACAGAAATATTTGTGATTGGGCAATGCCAGCCAGGAAGAAAGTCTTTTGGAAAGCAGGTATTGTTTAAGGGCATTATGCTTTATGTCTGGAGCTTAATGTGCTTTGTTGTGCCACTTACTGTGAAGTGAGCAGGAAGTAGTGGAAAGAAGTTCTAATTCCTGCAGAAGGAGCTGGTGTGTGGCCAGGAAAGGAAGGATTAGTGGGTTAATCTAAGAGTTTGAGGGAGAAGAATATCCCATCAGTTTCATTCTACACACAGGGTTGATTGTTCTGGACGGAGGGTGGCCAGCTTGGATGTGGATGGGGTTATCAAAGTCTGGTCTTTTAACCCCATAATGCAAACGAAAGCTTCGTCCATTTCCAAATCTCCGTTGCTGTCCCTGGAATGGGCCACCAAGCGTGATCGGCTGGTGAGTAGTCTGCGTGTGGAAGCACAGCAGGTGATTTGGGGCTCTCTTGTTACGAGTTGCATGTTCACTTCTAGACAGCTCTGCTGTGGATAAGATTGGGGCAGCAGTTAGTTTCCACTTTTAGTGGGACACAGGGAACCAAAGCCTCTAGGGTCTAAAAAGAACTAAAGGAGTGAGTGTATGCTTTGTACTGAGCAAGGAGTTCACCACTGCTTGCCCTGAAACAGAAATTCTGAAGTGCAGTGTGGGTACAGCTGCAGGATAGAAGTAGTGCCTTTGAGAGAATTGCCTGTCTTCACACAGATCACATAGCACCTTGTAAAGACAGGCAGAGGCAACTGAGTCCAGCAGCCTGTGGGAGGCCTGCAGCAGAGAGCTGTGGACCTTTAGTCATACCCTGAGCCAGCAGCAGAGAAGGGGAAACAGAGTCGTGAGGGTGGCATTTTACTTGTGCATAAAAAAGTGTGAAAAAAGCTCCATGTCCAGTTCTAGACTGGTGTCTTAAGAGCTGAGAGTTTGTGTGTGCATGAGGAGCTTGGAGCTTGTTTAAATAACATGGCAGTTTAAATGTTTCCTATATCCCTTTTTCTCTAGTTCTGTTACTAGAGAGGAGCCTTAAATTTTACAAATTCCTGAGTCCTTGAACTGCTGCTACTGTTTCCTGCCCTCCCTTGGCAGATACAGGGCTGTATGAGAAGGCTGGCTTGCAAATGAGGCAGTATTTTTTTGCATTTTGGCTCTGACTATGTGTGGTTTGCTAACCCCAAAATGCCACCTGTGAAGAGCTGATTCTACAGCTTGTCTCTTCTTTGACTTTTAGAAAGCAAGTTGTCAATGCAGTTGTTGCTCTTTGTTGTGATGGTGTTTCTTCTGCTTTGGGGAATTAATTTCCTTCTTGCTAATGGAAAGATTCTTGATTCTGAAATACATGTAGGATTCACCAGCAAATTAGGCACTGAAGTGACAAAGATCTGGCTTGCTCAATTTTCTTTTATAATGCTTCTCTCCATGACTTAAATTTTAATTGAAATTGTAACACCACTGATAAAGCATGTGTGAGCTCTTCTGGATGATTTTATCCTCCCATGGGTGAAAGGAGTTGGCTTCTCCTTGATTTTTTCTTTAGCACACAGTTACCAATCTTAAGCGTCTCTTTCCTTGGAACCCTAGATATTGAGACTCCATACATGTTTTTCATCCCATAGAGTTGAGCCATGATCTAGAAAGTGGTGTTTATTCCTTGGTGCCTATTAGATCTTTTTCTCACTGGGAATCGGGGTTTTTACTCTGACTTCTGTGGCTTTGGGGTAGTCCTACTCAGTGTGATTGCACAGGAAGACAGGATGTACCATTATGGAGTAATATAAATATTGCTGTCTGAATGCGTAAATAGAAAAAAAATTACTAAGTCTTGTTGGCCAGCATCATTGTACTCCTCACTCACACTCTTTCCATCTACTTCCTTGCTGGTTTCAAGCTATTGCTTGGCAGTGGGGTCGGGACAGTTCGTCTTTATGACACAGAAGCAAAGAAGAATCTCTGTGAAATCAGCATTGATGAGGACATGCCCAGGTAACTCTGGAATACTGATTTTTGCATATAAATATAAGTAAATGGTGTTGGCTTTAATAGTAAGCATCTTCCTGCTGCTTTTCTGCAACTGCAGGACTACCCAGCCTTCATCTAGAGGGCAGTCCCTGCCTGAGCAGTGTAAAACTGTTGAGGTAAACGGGAGACACTCAAAAACTAAGCACATCAATCTGCCCTCCTTTACAGTGCACCCTGTCTTGCAGACTCTTAATGGGAGAGCTTGTAGGTGAGTGTTTTGCTCGAGGCAGCTGCAGGAGAGAGGTGATTCAGACCATGTGCCTGTGTTTCAGGATCCTCTCGCTTGCCTGCAGCCCAAGTGGTGCCTCCTTCGTGTGCTCTGCAGCAGCCCAGAGCCCTGTCTCCCACATTGACTTCTCAGTAATCAACTCTGGGGGCAAAAGCATGAACCAAGTTCCTGGGAAGCTGCTGCTGTGGGACACTAAGACGATGAAACAGCAGGTACTTGCTGGGTTTCTTTCTTCTGTCAGTCTGCTTGCTGAGAATGAGTGTCTTCTGTTTCAGTGTCTAGGAGCCCTCATTCTAAATTATGCTGACTTTCTTTTCAACACCCTTCTTTTTCCTCCTTCCTCCTTTCCCCTCTGTCACATTCAGGATAAAAACAAATAATGTAAGTAGCTGCTGGATTGGGTGAAGTTTTTTGTTTTATTGGTGTGTTGGGATTTTTCTGAGGAATTCTTCAGAATAGTCCATGGCCTTGTTTCTATCCTGGCTGCACAGTTTGTGACTGGAAGTATCCCAAGTGGATTGAATGATGCTTTGCTGAGGCTTTCTCCAATTGAGCTGTACTGAAAGGTTTTCGTTGCTGCTGTTTCCCTTGCCTTCCCTGTTTTTAAGTGAAGTGCTGTCCCTGACATGTAGGAGAAAGCAACATACTCAAGCTAATGCCTGCCAGAAGCTGGTTTTGCAACCTTGAGGCCATGGCCAAGAAAGCTGTGGCTTGGCTGAGGTGAATTGCTGGTTTAGTGTCACAGTAAAATGCTGCTGCCAGACCTTGAAGTCTGTAGTCATCAGAGGTGTAGGGCTCCAAACCAGAGTTCTTGTTACTAAATACCATCTTTCTTCCTTCCCCTGGAGTTCAACGCCTCCAGCTCCATTTCTCAGCATTAATGCAGATTTTCCCTTCCAGCTGCAGTTCTCCCTGGAGCCTGAGCCCATTGCTATTAACTGCACAGCCTTCAACCACAATGGCAACCTTCTGGTCACCGGGGCTGCAGATGGGATTGTTCGTCTCTTTGGTACAGTGCAAAGGGACCTGGGGGTATTGGTGATAGCCAGCTGTGAGGCCAGGTGGCCAAGACTGGCATCTGGGCTTGTATCACAAATAGTGTGGCCACAGGATGAGGGAAGTGCTCCTGGCACTGCTGAGGTTGCACCTCAAACAGCATGTTGGGTTTTGGGCCCCTCGCTGCATGAAAGACATTGTGGGGCTGGAGCGTGTCCAAAGAACAAAACCAAAGCTGGTAAAGGGTGTGGAGCACATGAGGAGTTGGCTGCAGGAGCTGAGGTTCTTTAGCTTAGGGAAAAGGAGACTGAGGGGACACCTCACTGCTTTCTACAAGTACCTGCAAGGAGATTGTAGCCACGTGTTGATCAGTCTCTTCTCCCAGGTAACAAGGGATCAGACAGGAGGAAACAGTCTCAAGCAGCATCAAGGGATGGTTATATTGGATGTTAGGAAAACTTCTGTCACCAAAGGCATTGTCAAACACTGGAACAGGCTGTCCAGGAAAGTGCTGGAGTCACCCTCTCTGGAAATATTTAAAAGATGTAACAGATGTGGCACTTAGGAGTATAGTTTAGTGGTGCAGTTGACAGTGTTAAAGTAACAGTTGGGCTTGATTATTTTGGAAGTCTTTTCTAACTTAAATTTTTCTGTGAAAATGAGTAGTGAGGTGGTCCCTAGTCCTCAGTTGGCTGCCCATAGCAGGGAGGATATGCTTGGAGACCAAGGTGGAAGCTGTTGTCTCCACAGGAGCTCTCAGGAGTGAATTGACATAGACTTTTTCTGGAGAACATTGGCTGGAGACCCTGGTAGTGCTGCTGGATTTGTTGCTTGTCTCCTGCTGAAGAGGACAGTGAATTTGCTCTTAAGCCATGTGGTCTTGTGCTGTGCCAGATAGCAGTACCACTAGAGGCTGGGTTGTGAGGAAAGCAATTAATGTGAGACCTTCCATTTAAATGCAAGGGCTTCACATCAGTCCTCCTTTTGGGAGCAATTTGTGTTTCTCAGGTTTTTGTTCTCTTCAGCCTGTCCTTGCAATAAAGGCAGTTCAGGCCTCCTACCTTTGAATGGGGAATCTGCTTCTGGCACAGGTGGAGGCTGCAGTCCCAGGTCTTTGGGAGGACAGAGCAGTCAGCAACTGGGAGGATGGGCAGGATAACAAGGGGAGGAGGAGGGCCAGTGGTGCTTGGATGCAGAATGCCTGCAGTTGACAGCGTGTGAGCAGCCCCATAGAGTCCAGTAATTATAGACAATGATTTTTGTGTCCAAAATGACAGCAGGAGTATAGGCACAGGGTGCTGGGACTGGATTGGGCTCCCCCAGGCTGGTTTGGAGGGCTGGCACAGAGACATCAGGAACATAAAAGGCCTCCCTCTCTTCACCTCAGCTCTGTGTGAGTACAGGGAGTGTTCAGTACTGGTTCTCCCCTCAGATATGCAGCAGCACGAGTGCGCCATGAGCTGGAAGGCACATGATGGGGAAGTCTACTCCGTGGAGTTCAGCTATGATGAGAACACAGTCTACAGCATAGGCGAGGATGGCAAGGTAGGCTATGGATCACCTCCTACTGCTCAGCTGGCAGAGTGGTCACTTCTGGAGTCTTCTCTGTATCGTGGGGACAATTAAAATACGCTCAGATTCTGGATGAAACATGGGCTGCTAACTGCAGTCTTAGATGTGCAGTACCACCCTGCTCCATGCAATCTGCAGAGAGAGTGGCTGAAAAATATGTTAATAGTTGGAGCTGTCTTTGACCTTGTGTGCAAATCCTGCTGTTGGTGACATCCCTTTTCTAGACAGTCTGTGTGAGGATGACCTTTCTCTGACCCTGAGATGACCACATTTGAGATCTGGGATTCACAGGGAAGCATGTCCTTGACCACTTTGCATTAATCTCATCAGCAGCTCCCTTTACAATTGTTATTGTAATTGTCATTATTGCTTATAATAAACACCTCAATTTCTGCAGTTCCTCAGTCTTCAGCAGTAGGGGTGTGGGTCAGTGAGTGACCTTGGCTGAGGAGTTAAGCAAGTTCTCACCAGAGTACTGCATGCAGTGTGGAAGGACACATAGGCAGTAGTGCTTGAGGAAGGCAGAGCATATCTTTGCCTGGATAGACAGAACTCTTACAGCCTTTGCATCCTGGGCTTTATTCATATAGCCACTTAGGTACAGATGTGAAAATGCTATCTTCTGTTTGTGAGGAATACCCACTATTTTGCTTAAAAGCAAAAAAAAAGGCAACTCTATTTGCATCCCAGTCAATTCCATTTTAAGCTTTTGTCATCTCTTTTTCTCATTCTAGTTTATTCAGTGGAATATCCATAAAAGTGGCTTGAAGGTGTCTGAGTATGACCTTCCCAGGGAGGCTACAGGTCCTTTTATTCTGTCTGGATACAGTGGCTACAAGCAAGTCCAGTTCCCACGAGGACGGCTTTTTGCTTTTGACTCTGAGGGCAATTACATGTTGACATGTTCTTCTACTGGGGGAGTAATTTTTAAGGTAAGTCTGAGAAGTGATGGGGAGTGCTCTTAAGTATCCATACAAACTTATGCTAATTACAAGGGTGCAACAGCAGCCACTGGAAGTTCTTAAGCAGCACATACCCATCCTGGCTCTGCCAAAGCTGCTGCTCAGTTTCACACAGTGTGCATTTTAGTAGTGTGTAGTCCTACAAGTGTTTTTAGCAAGTGTTTGGGTCCTACAGCTCGAGTATTGGTGCTCTTTCTTAAAGCCTAACTTTTAGTGTCCAAGTGACTAGGACAAAGTTTTAATTACTTTTTTAATATATGGATGCATGCCAGTTCAGTGCAAAATGTATCATTGTTGACTGGTGCTCATGTTCAATCTGCCTTCTGTGCCTGGTGATTCTGTTAGAGCCAGCCTGATCCTCTTCCCTTACCGTGTACTGAAATTAAACAAAGGGTAAGGCTGAATGGTTCTGAGTGCCCAAATTTCTATGCTTCAGTAACAATTGTTGCTGATCACATGCCCATGCTCTTGCAAGGCAGATTAGATGGAATTTTTACTTTGCATCTGGGGCACTCAGAGCACTTGAACTAACATGAGCTACAGCTTAGGCTTATGTGCTTCTCATCAGTGTATGCCCTTAGCCTGCCTTGTTCAGTTACTGCAGTTCAGTTGATGTCAAAAGTTGAGCTGCTTGAGAGCACATGCTTCTGTAGTGAGACTGGAAGCTTCCTTTCCTGTTTGTGCTACACACATCTCAGTATCTCTCTGATTTTCTGCTTACTTAGCATGCTTTCTGCATGCTCTTAGAGATACAGAGTCTCTGTCAGGCTTTGGCTTGTCTTGTCGGGTGCATTGCCCCCACTGCAGAAATGTACCTCCCTAAAATCTTATGCTTTCCTTCTTTTTAGTTAAATGGTGAGGAAAAGGTTCTGGAGAGCTGCCTTTCCCTAGGAGGACACCGAGCTCCTGTTGTCACAGTGGATTGGAGCACAGCCATGGACTGCGGGACCTGCCTCACTGCTTCTATGGATGGCAAAATTAAATTAACAACCTTACTGGCTCAAAAGTCTTAACCTGGACAGTACTGAAGGGGGAAAGAGCAATAGAGCTGACAAAACCAGTGTTAACTCACAGGAACAAACTGCATGGGAGAGAAGGCAAAGCAAAGTCCCTCTTCTCATTGTAGCTTTTGCCTCTTGATAAATACATTTGCCAAACCACTGTGCAACAGAATGCCAGTATGGGACTGGATCAGTGGCAGCACTGAAAAATAAGTCTCCACTAATCCATTGTGGCAGCTGGACTTCCCTCTGTTAGGGAGTCTTGAGTAGCACGTGGCTAAAAGGCTGTGGTCACGTCAGGGTTCTGCAGAAGGTGAGGCTGGAGGAAGCAAGCATGAGGCAGCACAGTGCATGACAATAAGATGACTCAAACTGGAAGGGCTGATGAGAAACCAGAGTATTCTTTGGGTATAACATTTGTTGTTACAATTTTGTTAGTTTGTTTTTATTTGTTTTTTTTTTTTTCCTGTAAAAAGAAAATATTCCCTTGCATTTGAACTCTATGCTTTGTTTAGCAGCTGCTGCAAAACATGGAGGGTGGTGAGGGCAGTGATGTACCAAGTCTCCTGCATGCAGAAAAGCTCTTGTGTTTTCATCAGGTGCTTCCAGCACCACATCTGCACACCATGGCGAACCAGACATCCAGGAACAAAACCAACTGTGTTTGCTTGGATGTATTGTGTTACCTTGCCACAGGTATCTGCTACCAACCAGAGCAGAAATCCTGAGTCAGACTTTGAAATACTTGTGTTGGAGTTCAGAAGCTACATAATGCCTAGCAGCTACCTGAGGGTGGATAGGGGGAGGGAGGCCAAGACCAGTGTGGCCCTGTATGGGGCTCTCTGTCACTGGAGCTGTCTCTCCCCCTAAGCCCATCAGCATCAGGGCAAGTGCTGTGCTCAGGTACTGCATAGTCTTTGAATGGACTCAGCAGATACATTTCATCTGCTTACACATTGCCATGGAGCTTTCTGCTGCTTATGTCCTTGGCCTGTATTGGGAGTTTGTGGTACTGTTGTTCCTTGGCAGAGCATACACTCTGCTGGAAAATAAGCAGCCATTCATGAGCCATATGGGTAGCCATTCTCATAGACAGCTGTTCAAGGATAACACTGCTGGATACTGAAATCCTCACTACAGGCATGTTCGTGTTACAGGTACCTGTTGTCCATGGAGTAACTTGTTCCTGCTGACTACACTCATGTGATAACCCCACCTTCCGTTCTCCAAGATTACAGGTCTCCTGCCAGACTGACATCGAAGTACAGGGTTTCCACCTCAGAGGGATGTGATACTTATGGTGCAGCTGCTCTTCATGCCAGTCTGAGCTAATGTCCCCTCCAATCCAGTGCTGAATTCTAACTGGAATTCCCAGTGTTAGTCTGAGAGTTTAGAGAGCTCTCAAATGGGAGCCTTTGCCTCTCAAAAGGCCAGGAAAGATTGCGGCTGTATTCCAAGCCCTGCAGTGTTGACTACATTGCACAGGGGTTTTAGAATTTAGAATTACAAAATTACAGAATGGTCTGGGTTGGAAGGGACCTAAAGCTTTTCTAGTTCCGCCGCTGGGGCGGGGGAGCGGCCGGGGCGGCGGGCGGGAGGGCGAGCCCGGGCGCTGCCCGCGCTGAGCGTCCCCTGTGCACTGCCCAGGCCGGCGGCGCTGTACTGCATGAACGAGGCCGAGCTGGTGGAGGTGGCCCTGGCGGTCTTGGCCGAGGTGAGCGGGGACCTCCGGGGGTGGGGACGCGGCCCTGGCCCTAGCCGAGCACGGCGGGCGGCAGGGCTCGGGAGGACGGGCAGGGAGCGCTGCTGGCCGCGGCTGCCTGGCGGCCCCTCTCTGGGCGGCTTTGCCGGCCCCTCGATTGCGGCTGTATTCCAAGCCCTGCAGTGTTGACTACATTGCACAGGGGTTTTAGAATTTAGAATTACAAAATTACAGAATGGTCTGGGTTGGAAGGGACCTAAAGCTTTTCTAGTTCCAACTCTGCCATGAGCACGGCTGCCTTCTGCTAGACCAGGTTGTCCAAAGCCCCATTCAGCCCGGTCCTGAACGCTACCACAGATGTTACTTTCTTCCAGATGTTATCTTCCAGCCCTCACAGAGGGTCAGCTGAGGTTTCTGGAGAGAGACTACTTTCAGGTTTGCTTCATAAGTAGGACTAAAAGCAAAACAAAAGCCCCAAAACAGGGAAAGAAAGTATAAAAAACATGCACCAGTCCAAGGCTGCTATGCACAATGATGCATTAGTACAGCATTGATACTGTGCCAGAAGCCCGGAGGGAAGGAATGAACATGTTGTTTTGCTAGAACAACGCTCAACATGCTGTATTCCCAGAGGGGCTTTTACTCCATCCTTGGCCCAGGCTCCCGTCTCTCCTCGCTTCCCGGCACGAGTCCCCCGGCCGCCGCTGCCCCGGCTCCCTGCGCGCCCGGGCCTGCAGAGGGCGCCCATGCAGCGGCGGGCGCGCTCGGGGCGTCCCCGCAGCCCCGTCACCGAGCGCTCGGGGGCGGCGCCGGGCCCGGCCCGCCAGGCTGCCCCCGGGGCTCCGAGCCTGGCACGCAGCTGGCCCGGAGCCATGTGTGACGGACTGTCGAGGGACGCGCGGCCGCACTGCCTGCCTGCCTGATCAAACACGGGGCTCCGTCGTGACTTGGGTTTTAGGGCGGCCTGGGGCTGCTTTTCCAGCTGCCCCGCAGCGCGGTCGGGCGAGGAAGCCGCCTCGGTGTGGCGGGCGGAAGGCGCCCCGGCGGCGCCGCCCCGCGTAGCCATGGCGGCGGGCGCGCGGCGGCGGCGCGGGGCCCTGGGCCGGGCTGGCGGAGGGCAGGGCCGCTGGGCCTCGGGCCCGAAACGCCTTCCAGCGGGGGAGGTTCTGTGCCCGTCCGCCAACGGGCCCTCGTTACCTAAGCCTTTTGCTTGTAACTTGACGGGAAGTTGAAGAATCATGAACGCCCGGGAGAAATTTTCGGCAATTTGCTGATATTTGAGGGAACGAGTGACCAAACCAGGACCTAGAGCGTTGCCAGTGCGTTACACTGAAGAAATTAATCTCAATGTCTTTGAAAGCGAACAGCACCTTTAAAATGAACCACAGAAGAACCTTTTGAAAAGCAGCCTTTGATCCCATCACTGATTAATGTGTGCAGGCCTATGTGCTGCATTTGAACTTTGTGAAGAAGCAATAGGGTGGTATTTACAGATTGTCTGACAGGTTGCTATTTTCCCTAATGTGAAATCTCTCAGGGCTTTTGTACTTTTTATGTGAAGATTTTTTTCACTCACTGGCCAAGGGTACTGCAGTCCCTTCCACAGCCTAACACATCACAAAATCACGCTGTCCCAGATGGAGGGACATTCCCCTTCACTATCTAAAAATGAGTATTAATTATAGGCTAAATACAATGTTTTATATGATTTGCTACACTTCCTGACATGCTAGAAAAATTCATTTGAATGTAGCTCAAAATCATAGTAAAATCAAGGGAATGTTGCTTGAAAACAACTTCTCTCGGTCCTTTGCACCCTGCGGGCGCCGCAGGGCACGGCCGCGGGCCTGGGGCCTGGCGAGGCGGGCTCTCGGGGATGGTGGGCTGGCTGTCCTCCTGCTCCTTGGGGTGCTCCCGGCGTGAAGTCATGCACGGCCGGCGCTTGTTGTTTTCCCTCTGGTCAGAATCTACAGTGCGAGGAAGGTGAAGAGAACGCCCGGTCCAGGAGTGAAGAGGAGCAGGAGATCCCGCCAACACCAATCGAGGTTCCTGGAAGCAAGGCCAACACGGATGGAGGCAGTGACCACGGTCCAGCACTTCCATCCCCTCCTGGTGCTGGTGCTGACACAAAGAGGACAGGCAGGGAGAACTCTGAGGACGATGTCCTGAAATACGTCAGGGAGATCTTTTTCAGCTGACATCTCTGACTTCCCAGGAGAAGAGGGCACAGTGGGGAGGATGTCTCCTCCCGCGGCCCTGGGAACGGCGGGAGGAGGGCCGGGAGGGGGCTGTGCATCCATCTGCTGTGTTCGTGCCCTGTGTAGCTGGTAGGATACCCAGGAAGGCCAGAGGGGGAAAGGAAGGAGGTGCTCTGTTCTCCCACTCTGTGCTGGGCTCTGTGGGATTTGGCTCCAGATTAGGATGTGTTCAATTCTATTTCACATTTCAGAGCATGGACAGATAAAAGAGGACATTCTGGTTTCTGTGAGTATCCCTTTGGTGAGTTGGTGTTGGGCATAGAGGGGAGCAGGGAGCTGCTGACCTGGAAGACCTTTGCTGGCAGAGCTACATGGTCATGTTCAGCCTTGGGGGCTCCCTTGTCCTTGTGGTCCCTTGCAGTCACAGCTGCAGTGGGGCCTGGCAGGCTGTTCCCACTGGGCCTAGTGCTGAGTTTGCCTCCAGACTCCAGCAGTCTTCCCAATGCTGAGGAACATGTGTGGGAGCACAGTGGCAGGGGCCGGGACTACCCTGAGGGGGCTGACCCCATGGCAGCATGCATGGAGGTCTAGGAAGGGATGAAGATGGCTCAGTATCCTCTTCCCAGTCAAAAAAAAAAAAAAAGGACAAACAAGCCACATGAGGCCAGCTGTGAGAGCATGTATTGAAATGAAGAATCGGTCAAATCAGCATCACCAGCCGCATCCCCACTAAGGCTGAAGCAAGAGAGAAAACAACCTCTCATGTCCCTTGAAACAAATTCACTCAGCTGCAAAGAATATCACTGTTAAGCAGGCATTCTTTATTTACATAAGTTCACCCAGCCACGGGATGAATTAATGCAGTGTATACTCACAAAGCTGCTACATATTCACTACACAGAAAAATCAATAACATAAAACTCCTGTTTTGAAAAATAATTCTATGAACTGTATTAACTGTTTCAGTGTTTTCTGCCATCTAGTGTCCTTTAGGTTTATTACTTCCCTCCTGTAGGGGTTTTGGTGGTTGTTTAATCATCTGCATCACTTGTCCTTTTATTGCACTTTCTTAATCAGTGCATGCTCAGTCTGTTACCTTGTTTTCAAACTACAAAACTGCTTCTTTCTGGTGTTACTTCAGTATCGTCCTAGATGGCTTTCTTCGCAGCCTTGAAGGTTGGTTGTTGATTGGCAGCTTATTTATTTTAAGTTATATGTATCCTATCTACTTATTAAGAAACTACCTGTTTGGTTACATTTTCCTGAGCATTTGTTAGTTCCTAGTTAAACACAATCTACAGATACTATTTTTAAATTCCCTTTATCTTTGTTATATGGTAGGGCAAAATGTATTATAAATACTTCGTTAGTTACAAATGTAATCACACACTATGAGATGCTAGCAACGTTTTTTACTTATACTAGGTGTGAGCAGAGAGCTGTGTTCACTGTACACTGGTTGTGCTACCTTCACTGCTCTTTGGGGCCAGAAGTGCTGCCACTTTGATGCTGTGCCCCAAACTGAGGGGTGTTACATGCTGTTGAACCTGGGAAGGTGCAACGTGTACCTGGAAAGCTTCTGTGCTGTGGCTCTTGGTGTCTGCTGCCAGCTTGATGCAGGAGTGCTGCACACAGCAATGTGCCAGAGCATGGCTGGACATGAGCCTTTGGACTGGGAATCAGATTTTTGCTAGGGAGTAAAGCTGTATTTGGATTACAATTTTAAATCATATTACCGATAGCTCTTGCATCTCCTTCACTGTCAAATCTTAGTGGGCAGGGCCTTGTCAGTTAAATGGTTTTGACACCTATGTGTGTGCTTGACCCAGCACGGTGGCAGTGAGAATCTGGAGCAGTAGCAGAGCCTGAGTCCCAAGCAGTGCCAGGAAGCCTCCAGTGAAATCAGAGGGATGAATCCACTGCGAGGTTTGTAAAAGAAACATACCCAGGCCTCCAGACAGGATTATCGTCTTGATGAACAGTATGGTGCGGATCATCTTCCATCCCTCTCCTTGCCCTGTGCAATTCACATTTAAAAGAAAAGGGAGGTGGAAGAGGATTAAGACCAGGCAGGTATACACACAGACCCTGGCTAGTCCCAGCTGTAGTAGACTGATGCCCATTGCCTGTAGGTGCTTGGTGTCCAGGCACTGCAGCTCCCCAGCTGTATCGTTCCACAGGCAGAAGTTGTAAAAGCCGATGCGTTTGTCAGGGAGGTTCACCAGGTTTCCAACTTCGTACAGCAGTGCATAGGACATCAAGGCCAAGGCTCCAAGAGTCTCCAGTAAAATCAGCAGGTGCAGCAGGTTCTTGGTACGCCTCTGTGGCAGCAGACCCATCCTGGTGCCTGCATGCTTTCTTGCTACCATGGTAAAAGCTGCTGTGAGGATGCCTGTTGCAAAACATGAAGGGGGGACCCCTCAGTTGTTGCCTCTTATGGCACCCTTCCCAAGATGCCCCTTATGGCTGGGGTCCAGGGACTCCCCTTGCAAATAGAACAAGAATGTCTCAGTCCTGCCTAGGACTGTGCTGCACATGAGTTACTGGGTTAAGGAGGGTGCATTTGGTGCACTTGTGGTCACAGCAAAGGTGGCTTAAGGGTGTCCCATGTGTGGACCAGTACTGGGAGGAGAGTATGACTCAGCACTACACATGCCCTTTGCTTCATGGTCTCACTGGAAAAGAGCCATTTGTCAGCAAACTGCAGGGATGGGAGGAGAGAAAAACTGCTGTCTGCTAAGAAGCAAGATAAGAGCTATTCTGGGATAATGCCTTTCTTTTAGTTTTTATCAGACAAGGACATCCCTTGTGATCTTTGGACTACTGAGTAAAGTGCAGACATGACAGGATCTGAACTGCAGGGCTTGCCTTCCCTCCCTGCCCTTGTCCTATAGCTCTGCAACACCCAGTGCCATTGATACCACCCATTTCCAGCATCTGAGCTCCACATGCAGGTCCTTGCATGCCTGTAGATTTCTGAGCACAGCAGGACTGGATACCTGGAGCTCTGCTACCCACTGAGGCTGGTAGACATGGTGCTCCTCTGTCTTGGTTGCCTGGGGCCCAGTCCCCTACACAGACAGGCAATTGCCGAGCTCAGAGAGGGACCCTGGATGTTCCTGCAGCCACTCCTGTGGCTTCCTCTGAGACGCAGGGATATGGGTGCTACTGAGACACACCTGTGATTGCCATCCACCTTGCTCCTCTCACAGACTGGTTGGCAAACCAGACTCTGCTCCTCTTCCCAGAATGTGTACTGTCCTCTTCTGCAGTGAATAGGCTTCTGCTTCACGCTGAAAAACAGGGAAGTGGCATCAGGAAAGGCTATCACTGCCTGCTGAGCCACATGGCATTGAAGCACTGTCCACCCAGGTCTGCAGAGAGGCATGAACACAGGACTCAAGAGACCTTGGCTTCAAGCCAGCCTCAGGCTTGAAACTTTGCAAATAACTCTTCCTCCCTCTGACAAGCTTCATCTGCTGAGAATCATTTACCACTTTCCTTCAAGAAGTTCACATTGGCCCTACTGTCCCCTTCCACCGCCTATTGCCCAGTGATATATAATTTACTGGGTCCCTTCCAGTTCATAACAGTCTGTGAATCTGTGATATCCTGGATGTTCTCCTAGACCACTGCCCAAAGCTGATTGTGCATTTGTTACAGCCTCTGAGTTTTTAGAGTGCCAGAAGAGACTCCATTGAATCTGTGCTCAGTGTCTGGTGGTGGTGCTGGTGACCAGAGACCTTTCAGCATTCCCCTCCCACTCCTCATCTCTCCCTGGAGACTTGGAAGTGGGGTACTTCTGTTTAATGATGACAAATATGAAGCTTCTCAGTCCCAAACTTCTCCCAGGGGAAGCACACACACAGCATGGAAGTGGGGGGTCACAGCATGAGACACCAACCTGTCCACTTCCCCTGGTCACTTTTCCCTCACTTCTTGTAGACTCCCTTGGAGGGCTTCTTCTCAACAGGCTTCTGGAGAGACTGGAAGGTCACATGGAGGACGCCCATTGTTCTGAATCTGCAACGAAGACACAAGCAACCAGGAAAATATCTATGAGAATGAGACCTCCAGCAGATGTAATTTCACCATGGTTTGTCTTTCCCCTAGTATTGCCCCTTGGTTTGTCTGTCTCACACATGTCCTGCACCCAGGCATTGCTGCTCTTCCTCTCCCTGTTCTGCAAGGGCTCACACCACTCATTGCTCTTCCTGCTGTCCTGTCTTACCCTCAGAGGAAGAACAAGCTGCACTTGGAGGGAGCTCTTGGCTGGCTGACCTGGTCTCCAGGGATTTCTGTTAGACCACTACAGCCCAGCTGACTCTTGGCCCTGCCCACCCACCAACCCTTGCTGTTGTATTTCTTTAGACCAGTTTCCTAAGGAAGGCAGGCTTGTAGAATTGTGGCTTTTTGTTCAGTCATCTCATGCTCACTCCCCCTGCATCCATAAAAATGTAAAAGCTATTAAAAATTGTCCTAGTTGCACATGCTTACTAGAGAGGGGACAGAGAATTAAATTCCTGTCAGGTTTATGGTAACGTATGGCAGGGCTGGAGGACAGCCACCTCAGAGACCCTGTGCTGCTGAGTGATCTCTGCATGTGGGGGAACCTGGGGAAAGCCCGTGGTATCTCTGCCCTCTCCTTTGCTTTGAGGACATATTTTCCCAGTGATATCCCTCTCTTCATGGTCAAATTGCTGGCATCTTTGCCTCCTGCTGCCTCCCCTGCCCTGCCCAGCCCAACCCAGTAGGTAAATCCCTGTCCCTATGTGTGACTGATAGGAGCAGAAACATGCCTGGGATGGCCCTGTGCCAGCTGGATAGAGAACTGGCCTGGAGGCAGTGAAGGCTGAGAGCTGGCACCCTGCCACAGTGCAGCCAGGGACAGGACATTTGTGAGCTCTGCAGCTCATCACTGAGGCAGGTTTGGCAGCAGCCTGGCTGAGAAGCAAGAGACAAACAGGAAAGGGCTCTCACCCAATGTACAGCTTGGGATTTTCCCAGACAGAGGCAGTCTCGCTGCCTGTAAGGAGGTGTCTTTGGATAGGAGACTCTGTGGCTCTTCCTCAAAGGTGCAAGAAAGAGGAACCTGAACATGGCGCAGTGAGCCCCAGCCTGGAGTCAGTCTCCTTGTTCCTGGACTGGCATTGATGGAAACACTGGGTTTCACCATAGGAGAGCTCTGTGTCTCAGTCTCCCTGGCAGAGAGAGGCCCCATGTGAATGGCTCAGGAGCTCCCTGAGGTGGGAGATAAGGCTCCTAAGCACCCTCTGTGCTTTTGGGACTGCACAGCCCTTTCCTCTGCTGCTCACAGGCAGGTGGGCACCCTTGCCAGGCTGGGGCTGTGCCTTCCTCCAGCAAGCAGCTGGTGGAGTGCCTGGACAAGGGAACAGGGAGTCACACAGCTTTGGTACAGGATCTGTGCAGGGACGAGCATCTCTGTGAGCCACTGGATGCCGCTGCAGTGGGGCTGAGTGCGAGGAGGCGAGGAAATGGGCATTTCCTTTTGCATTGAAGAGCCCCCCCAGACATTTTCACTTTCTCACCTCCCCTCTCCCTGGCTGCTGAGGGGAGAAATGCTGTACAAGAGATACGGGAAAGTGTAATGCTTTGGACATGACACTTTTCCTTCAAGACATCTGTCGTCTTCCTTCACCACCTCCCCACCCCAGCTATCCGGGTCGTCTTTCTCCCTCAAGCAGGATTAGCTGCAGAGAAACCATGAGTGAAGAAAGGCCACTGACGAGCTAAGGATTGCTGGTAAACAGAAACCAACCAGCAGCAAATGGAACAGACTGTGGGCGCACTGCCCTTAAAGCATCTTATAGCAGGGGAAGGACCCACCAAGACATCAGCACCCTGCAAGACCACTTCTGGCAGTTCTCCCCAATGCCAGTGACATTAAAAAAGCGGGGGTCTCAGTGGAGGATACTTACGGGCTGCCCATTTGGGTGGGTGTGGAGCTGAAACACGCTGGAGAGGGCTGTGCTGCCGTTCTAGGAGCCGAGAGGTGCTGTGGCTGCAGCCGGTGCTGTGGCTGTCCCCACAGCCTGTTTTGTCACGTGCAGATGGTTATCTGCTTTCTCTTTCGGTTCTAAGGGCAGTGCTCTTTCCCGATATCGAGTCAGCTGCATATGACCAAGAAAACAAGCCAAGCCCAGCTCCACAACCGGAGAACCCGAGCCAGGGTCAGGCTTGTGTTTCCTTTCCTTCTCCCTGCTGTGCTAACCAGCACGAAAACCCGACCGGGCTAAGCTCATTCAGATTGTTGTGCTGTTAGAGTCGCTTGGGTGTCCATGAGGGCTTAGATTAATTTGTTTCGTTTTGTTTGGACACTTCTATAGAGGTGACTGACCGTCCCAGCACGTATCTCAGTTCCTCAGCACTACTGGAGTTCGCTGCCAGCATGGCCCTTCTTGCCCTTTGGACACTGAGCCCTCCTTCCCTCCCTCTGCTTCCCAGAAAGAGCGTTGCCCAAGTTCCCTGCCCACAGCCACCGTGCTTACGCAGGCACAGTGCAAAGTGCCCAGGTGCTGCTGCCACAGGAAACCACTGAAACCTCGAGTTATGTAAGGGGAAAAACTCTCCTGCTGCCTTTACTCCTCCTGGGCCGATGTGGAATCGTTTGTCCTGCTAGCAGTCTTTGTGGTGGGGTTGGCCCTCCTTTGCTGGGAGGGCTGTGTGCTGGGGGTGGATGCATGTGGGACACCTAGCCATGAAGCTGTTCTCCTAATTCCATGCTTAGGCATGGTCTAGAAATGTCCATGTCGTACACATGTTGTGAGCGTCTAATACTGGCACTCACGCCCAAGAACACAAAGTGGAAAGAAATATGGGAGGAAGTTGTAAGAGAAGCTCAGTGGACAGAGGCATGCAGGTGGTGGTGTGGGGATGCCTTCCTATGTGCCTGTGTGTGGAATAACTTCAGCATGGAGAGGGACAAGGGTCTGGATCAAGGGAGTTCAGATCATGGGTGGCTTAGGCAGGGGTTCTGGTGGGTGGGGACAGAAATCTTGCAGCAAATGAAGTCCAGCAGTCCAGAGCTGCTGAGCTGAAAGGGGAGAAGAAAGCCTTGGGGTTGAATATGGCCATCTTCTAGCATTGGGGCTGATGGCTGGGGAACTGAGGAATAAGAGACTTCTGAGTTAAGACCTCTGTGCCAGTGGAGCAGAGCATAATGCTTTGGCAGGGGCATGTTTGTGCTCCCAAGGAGGAGGGGTCTTGCAGTTTGGGAACATTTTTCTCCCATTCAGGGAGAAAAAGGGTATATAATTTTGATCTGGTGATCAACCAGCTCCTTAGCTGATCTCAGCGAAGCCTTGGGGTTGAATATGGCCAGCTGATGGCTGGGGAACTCAGGAATAAGAGACTTCTGAGTTAAGACCTCTGTGCCAGTGGAGCAGAGTAACATGCTTTGGCAGGGGCATGTTTGTGCTCCCAAGGAGGAGGGGTCTTGCAGTTTGGGAACATTTTTCTCCCATTCAGGGAGAAAAAGGGTATATAATTTTGATCTGGTGATCAACCAGCTCCTTAGCTGATCTCAGCACCACAAGTGAAGCTGCTGTTTCACTGCCATAGGCAGAAGGCACAAGCAAGCTCCTTCAAAAATATCCTTGCTTTCACACTGGGGTAATCAGGATGACTGCCACACTGGGTCTGCTCTACCATGCCAGAGCATTTCTCCCTGGAGCCACTGTCCCCCTAGAGGGGTGGCTGTTCCAACACCAGCACAACATGTAACCTGACATTGCTTCCACTGGGCACACACCTTTTTTGGCCTTTTCCCCCAAGAGAAGATCCCTGTTCAGCCAAGCTGGTCTGCTGCCTCATCTGCTTGACTTCCAACATTTTGGAATTGCTGGCTACTGTGCCCTTAGGAGGTGATGTTTAAAAAGTTTAAATGTTTAAATTGCACCATTTGGGAATGTTACTCTTGGAGTGTGGCATCTCACTGGCCAGAGTTGGTTGCTTGATTGTGCACCTGTGGCAGAAGCACTTTTCAGTGTTTCCTGAGAAGCTCCATGTCTCCACCCTGGCAGGGTCTAAGTCTCTGCTGCTTTTAATGCCTCCTGGGATGCCATGGCTGCCAAAAGGGAGAAATCCAGTCAAATTTGACTCAAGACTTGGTCCCAGCTGACCTTCTGACTCTGGCAGCTTCCTTCCACACCTTTGGCTGCCTCTCTAGCAGGTAGTTTTTCTGCCTTCTCCTTGCAGGTGTTTGGGCAGGGAAGATTGTGCCTGAAGGCTGGGCAGGATTCAGTTTGTCTTTCCATTCCCCTTCCTGGGGACATTTTACTGGTATGGCTGACTGCCTCTTGGGCTTCCAATGCCCAAGTCTGATGATGGAGCTGTTGGGGGCGATAAGTCTGATGGGGGTGAGGTGAGCACGGGAATGATCATCAACATGTCTCATGGACAAAGGATGGGAAGGGGGAGGAGAAAGAGAGCAAGGCTTTTACCTGTATGTGCCTGGTGGTAGGAGAGACTGGATGGAGTGTTTGGGCTGCTGGGTCCTGTTTTCTGTGGGTGGGAAAGGAGAGCATGTTCCAGGAGCCAGCTTCTACTAAATTCCTGTGTGGCCCTTCCTTCCTGGAATTGTTTCCTGAAGTGGACATCATGTTTTCATGCATTAAAAAGGTTTTAAAGTGGAATTAACTGCTCTGCAGTTCTTGATTTCTCATTGTGGAGTTAAAGCAAACACTCAGCAGTTTAGCAATATTAATATTAAGGAAAGCATGAGATGAACTGGGACTTTGCAAAATTTTTTGCTGATTTTACCCTCCTGTTTTAAAAGTAAACTACTACACCTTATCCCACATATGATTCTGTGGGATAATACTCCAGTCTGGCTATAAAACACAGAAACAAAATATTAAGAGCTGGGATATTTATTTATTTGTTTGTTAAACTTCCTCTAAGCAATGCCAATTCCGGGAAAGCCTAGAAGAATGCGATCTGTTACATTTCTCCCCTTGGGTATGGTACATAATATCTAGGAATTAAATCTGCAGCTGGGGGAGGAAGCGCCAAGCCTGCAAAAACATTTAAAGAGACATTCTTTATTAATCTCCTCTTTGGCAGGCAAACTCTTACTGGTCATAACACTGCAGTATACTCAACTGTACCGTACTTAAACTGTACTTGAACTCTACTTAACTGGACTGCTTGTCCCACAGAAGACAATTACAGCTGTAATTGTCTGTGCCTAGACTGAGAGGCTGGGAGAAGCCTTTTAACTGCGTCTCTCCCTGCATACATGTCTTTTTTCTCAAGAGCTGGATCCCCAGTGCCTTGGCTGGTGTGACAGGCACAGCCCCCGCACTGATGGCTGGTGAGGACCAGGTGTCCCCAAGTGCCCAAATCAGTGCTGCAGGCCAGGCCCCTGGGCTCTCTCTCAGCATGACCTGACCCAGCAGATGTGTCTCACAGCTGGACATGGGCCAGCTTAGCTGCATCTGGCTTTAGTGCTGCACTGCCAGCACCTCCCCTCACAGAACCATTGGGTGAGATCCATGATCAGCAGGTGAGATGGCAGGTCTGACAGTGTATGGGAGGGTTTGTCCCTTGAGAAACAAAGAATATTTACAGCATTTTTAACAACCTTTTACTCTAAGCAAAGAGGTGCCTTTACAGTTGATATTGAATTTCATTAATAATATTTAGCCCAATGAGCACATTATTACAAATGCATGTACCCTACTGCCAATAGGAGAAAATATTTTTTAACCTCTCTGGAATTTGCCTTGGGTTTATTTTTTCTCCAGTGAGATTGTTGTCAATCAGTAAATCATAATGTAGTAATGTGATGAAGACAGTTTCAATTACAGAAAATTTAGCTCTTCCAAATGCTGAGGTTGAAGGAAATCCAGCCAAAGAACTCCGTACTTATCTTTGTGGAACATACACTTTACTGAGGTTTGAGCTTATAGAAAAAAATGGCTTATTGGTATTTAAAGAATTAAACTTGTAAGGTTTACCTTTTTCACTGGCTCTGGTACCTGAAATATCTTGGTGCAATATCAGTGCCTTGAGTCTGTGAAACAGAGTAGTGCTTTGAGTTTCTGAAAAAAGAATAGAGACAGGAATGAATTATTATGACTAACAAGTTCCAAAAGACTGGCTGACAAAAAGGTGTTATCTATCAGTCAGCCACTTTAGGGACTGTTCAGGGAGAGTACACCACGCTAGGACAGGGGAATCTTGGTAAGAGTTCAACAGCTAATGGGAAAACAGTTACCATGTAAAGGCTGGTATTTTTCTTTTGGTGACAAAATTGTTTGTGTAAAGTTACAGTGATTAAATTAAATTTTCATGTATTGCTCTCTGTCAGAAAAAAAAAAAAAAAACCAAAAAAACCAAAAAAACCTGCCACACCATGTTCGTCCTGGGATGAAAAATATGGGTATTTTTTCTTTTATGACTTCTGTTCTTAGCCATGTTGTTAAAATGTTCGCCTGATATTTTAGGGTGTTTTCTTTATGGTGTCTTGGTAACCATTTTGATTAATAAGGGAATATTACAGTTACAAACTGAAAAATCCCCAACAAACCAAACCAACAATTGCAAATAAACATGATAATCACAATGCCAGAAGGAGTACACTTAAGAAAGCTGCTCAAGGTTGAATCCCTTACGCTGTTCTTTTCAACAAATATTTATGAACCTGGATACAAACATATCCTACTGACAAGGGAGCTCACTTCCTTCTCAGTATGGCTTGTTTATTTTTAGTCTGGGAACTGGACAGCTATGCTTTCTCAGTTATATTAATTGCCATTGCTCTGTTTTTCATATGTTTGGGCTTCTGAAAAAAAGAACTGGCATAAAATGTCTTATTTTAAGAAATACTGGTCTACCTCTTGAACCAATGAAAGCATTAACAAAGCAGTCAGCATTATAAAGTGTATGTAAAGAATAAAAAAGAATATCACCCATTGAAATACCAATGTGACTTCTTTCCAAATAACAGTTTGCTTTCTCTATGCAGCAATAACAGTGCTCCTATGTTACATCTTGAGGCCATACAGTTTTCTAGGCTGAACATCAGCAAAGTGTCATTGAGGGCTACATGCAGCTCCAGCATGAATTTCTGTCAGAAATTCTACTGCAGCTGTGATATTCCTTGCTATTCACTTTTTTTTTTTTTTCAAATGTTTTTAACCACTTTCATCAAGATCAACAGAAATTTTGTTTAGTCTTTTGATCTAATAAACTTACTTAGTCACTGAAGTAGATCCACATGGGGAAATGCACATACATAATCTTGAGAAGAAGATGTTTCTTGAAGGGATCATGATCAATTTGATAAACTCTTGTTACTTGCTTTACATAGTAACAGCATCACCCTGGCACGTTTTGCTTCTGGTACACATCCACCAAAAGAACTTTATTCATTTCATGAAAGATGTATGAATGCAATTCATGCAATTTCATTGCATGAAATATGTCTTCGCTTGGATTTTAGCACCAAAATGACACAACAGGACCTAGTGAAGCTCGACCTGACAAATAGTTTTGCAATGTATACTGGTATTTATAGGTCTTGGCAAGCACAGCCTCACAGGGTCAGGCTCTTAGATGCCCAAAGCGGTGTTCAGTTCTGAA